TTGCGAGCCAGCTGTCTTATCAGCCCTTTGGCTGCTTTCCCGGACAGTAGGTCTATAGTTCAAGGGAGTGGTCTAGAGCTCTCTAGCAGAGAAGTCTAAGGACATCGACAATTGCAAATCCCATGATTCCATAGGATGAGGCCATATGGCAGTTATAATGGCATTAAACTGCTATAACTGTGCAGTTCCAGAAATGCACCCACCCTAGTTTGGTGAAAGGATAGCACATCCATCCTTTGCCAAATGGTACAGCTCCATCAGAGAATCAGAGCTGGAAGGGACTTTTCACAATGGTGCAGCAAAGTAATTTTAGACCCTGAAAATAATGTTGAATTTAAGACCTGGGGTAGAGATTGCTTTGGACAGCTGTTTTGTATTAAGCCTCTTGTGGATTGCACATGCCTGCACCTCTCTCTGCTACTACTGAATAGCAGCTGGTGGCTTCCAGATTTTGTAGGGCAGTTAACCCACCCCAAAGTTTAGATTGTACTTTAAAGGAGATTTCCAATCTGCTGGATCTTCTCTTCAAAATATGTTAGCATCTTGGATACATCTTTAAAGTTTGGGCTAAAACCTAGAGGGGATCCACTCTTCCACTGATACGTAAGTCACCAACCACCACTGTTTAAATATCACCTACTGAAATATCACCAGCAAAGGAGAGCCCAAGTCAGTCTTTCCCACTGTTGAGCAACTCTTCCACTAAGACGTTCCATAGACCAAGGTATTCCATGAAAAATAATTGCACTACAATATCTTGGGGTGTATTCATTACCCCCATTAGTTCTAGACCTGCCTTCTGAAGCAACAAAGTAGTGTGTTCCATCTTCAGTGTGAAAGCTCTTTAGATATTTGACAACCACTGTAAGGTCTCTTCATTTCCTCTCCTCCTCACTGTTTTTTCAAGTATTCCTTATAGGCCTTGCTTTCTAAAGAGTCTACTCACCATCCTCTGGATATAATCTATGTTGTTTTTTAAAATGCATTGCCTAGAACTACACATTGTATTCCATGTGTGGTCTCACCAGCACAGAACAGAAGGAACTACTAATTCTCATGACTGGAGAACTACATATTTATGATGCTAAGAGGCCGCATTAATTATTCTACCATACTGACTCATGCTCAACCTATGACCAACTAAAGATTTTTTCCAAAAGCATCCTTCCACTAGTAGAATGGACATTTCTGGTGGAAAGGATTTCCCTCCCACTTTCATTCCACTTGTATACACTCACAAATCTGGTCTGGAAGACCTGCTGCTGCTGCTAACTGCCTTTCAGTAGACCTCAACTTATAGTGACCTTGTGGATGAGACATCACCAATTTCCTCCACTTCTCTGCTCAGGTCCTGCAGGCTCAATCCCATGGACTCTCTGATTGAATCCAACCAGCTGGCATGTGGATTTCCTCTCTTTCTTCTGCCCTCTAACTTTCCTAGCATCATTGCCTTTTCCAATGATTCCTGCCTTCTCATTATGTGGCCAAAGTACAACAAACTCAGTTTAGTCATCCTGACTTCCAGTGAGAGTTTGGGCTTGATCTGTTCTAGGACTCATTTGTTTGTCTTCCTAGCTGTCCACTGTATCCTTAGCACTCATCTCCAAAACCACATCTCAAATGAATTGATTTTCTTTCTATACATTTTCTTCACTGTCTAGGTCTTATATCTGTACATGATGAAGACAAATACAGTGGTTTGGACAATCCTCACTTTAGTGTTCAGAGTTATATCTTTACACTTTAAGATCTTGTCCAGTTCTTCCATAGCTGCACTTTCCAATCTTTGTTTTCTAATTTCTTGACTCCAGTCAACATTCCAGCCAATATTTGATCTGAGGTATGAAAACTCTGACTATTTCAGTTTTCTCCTTATCTAGGTTGAATTCTTTTAGATCTTCCATTGTCATTATTTTTGTGTTTTTAATGTTCAACATCAAGCCTACTTTGGCACTTTTCTCCTTGACCCTCTTCAGTAATTGCTCCAGGTCTTTGTTGGTTTCTGCTAGCATTGTGTCATTAGGGTATCTTAGGTTGTTAGTGTTCCTTCCTCCACTCTTCACTTCTCTTGCCTTGGAATCTAACCCTGTTTGTGTGTACAATGGTTTCTAATAAATAGGATTAGGAGACAGCAAAAGAATTAAAAGCTCTCTTGGTTTACAGATAGACATAGTGACAGCTGGTAACTCTCATGTTAACATTCAACAGTGGAACACACTCCTTCGGAGTGTGGTAGAGTCTTCTTCTTTGGAGCTTTTTAAAGAGAGGCTGGATAGCCATCTGTCAAGGATGCTTTGATTGAGAGTTCCTGCATGGCAAGGGATTGGACTAGATGGCCCTTGTGGTCTCTTCCAACTCTATGATTCTATGATTCCAGGGTTTTGCTCATTTTAAAGCTGCTTGTCACAGTGCTAAATTTGGGGATACAGTTCAGAATTCTGGAGACCTTCTTTAAAGACTGGATTTAACCCTGGAGTACTTTTAACTCCAGAATGACATGGAAGTCATCAACACTACTCTTGCAAAAATGAGGAGGGGGCCTTTTTTAGTACTTGATATTAAAATGGATTCACGACAGATAAATGTTGCTCATTTAAATGTATAGTCATATCAAGAGGCAGGAGGAACTGCCAAAAAAGTTCTGCTCTTCTGCTTTATTGGCAGGGCTCATTATACATACACAATTGACCTTGAATAATTAATAATGATAATATTAAGGAGATGGCTTGAGGCAGTCTTCAACCTTTTTGAAAAAAATAGGATTTTGCTGCTTCATGGTGGATGTTATGGCAGGCAAATCATATTGGTGTAACAATGAATATTCATTGCTGTCCGGGTTGCCTCCCTTTAGAAACACTGTATTTGTAATCTAAAACTAAATTGTTCATTTATGAATATACAGCCCTCATAAACATATTTGCTAGGTCTTTAGGAATATTCTGCACATATTCACTTCTGACAATCCTAATTAAACTGTTTATCATAACAATGCAATCATAATTTAAGATTATCATATCAGAAAGATTGTTTTTGACTCTCAGGTAAACAATTGCAGTCAATAGAATGGAACAATAAATTATTTTATATAGGAGGAAGGGAAGGAGGAAGCTGTCATCTACTACCATTAATGCATTCTGAACCCACAGTGCATTAACTACCAATGACTGATAAGTGTCTCTCTTCTACTTTATTGTTGTGTGCCTTCAAGTTGTTTCTGACCTAGGACAACACTAAGGTGGACCTATCATGGGTTTTTTTTTGAGGCTGAGAATGTATGACTTGTCCAAGGTCACCCACTGGATTTCCATGGCTGAACAGGGATTCAAACCCTGGTCTCCAGAGTCACAGTCCAACACTCAAACCACGATGCCATGAATTCCTTCTCTCCATGTCCCCAGCTACCCATATCATTTGTGTATTTTCTCCTGCATAATAGCAATTTTTCATAATTGATTTTAATCAACACAGTTATGAATACACAGTGTGTGTGTGTATATATGTGTGTGCCCAGTGAAATAAAGTAAGATTAGATTGGCCAGATTCTATAACTAGCCAGCTACCCAAAATCTTTATTCGGTGTCTCCAAAGGTTAAGAACAGGGGTAGGCAACCTAAGGCCCGGGGGCCACATGCAGCTCCCCGAGGCCTTTGGACCGGCCCCAGGCCAGTCCTGCTGCCGCCGCCACCCCCGCCGCCCACCATAGTGATATTGATAATTGTTGTTATTACTTGTTCTTGGGGTATTCTTGGCAAAATCTCCACAGGGGTTTTGCCATGGCTTTTCTGGGGCTGAGAGAGTGTGCATGCATTTTTTTATATATATATATATATATATATAATTTATTTATTTTTGGTGCTTCAGCCCCCAATTGTCTGAGGGACAGTAACCTGGCCCCCAGCTCAAAAAGGTTGCCTACTCCTGGTTAAGAAGATAGAAAGAAGCATGTTGGGGGTGGAAGCAGGGATGCCGATGAAGTGGTCTCAGATATTCAAAACTTGCTTCCTTCTGTATGGAGATTTAGTTGTGACTGGAAGGAAAATGGAGCAAACCTGGATTCGTCCCTATTTAAGCCTCTCAGCAAGTTGATGGCAGAAATGTAAAGTGCTGTGAGTACACTAGGATATTTAGTTAGCTGTGATTTGGACATTTTATTTATCCTGATGTTTCGAGGAGTTTTTGGCCCTGACAATAACATACAATTTAAAAGTAGCGCATTAACATATTTAAATACATTTTTTAAAAAACAATGTTAAAAAATAGACAACACATACCCCCATAGGAAGGCTCCCTGAAAGCAATTACTCATTAAAAGCTTATTTGAATAAAAAGGTCGTCCCCTGCTGGCAAAAGGAAACAGAGAGATGGCCAGCCCAACATACTGTGGAAGGGGGTTCCACAGCCTAGAACAGGGGTTGGCAAACTA